TTTATTGTTTACAAGGAGGTGTTCCAATCTTGAATGTAGAATTAGGTGAGGTGTTCCACCAGCTGCATATGTTGACTGCTCACATGGCACACTTCTCGACCCAACTCAACTACTACCTGTCGTTCGACGTGGTGGAATGCGGGTGGGTGGAGGCGATGAAGCGACTACGTAGTGACTCCCTCGATTCACCAGAGAGCCTCCTCCTTGCCCACTCCAACTTTCTCCAGTCGGCAACCAAGCATGCTTTCCTCCATCCGGAATCCAGGGTGAGGGCCCATTCTTCTATGAATGGACCATTGTTAACAGCTTTGCATCAATGCCCTTTCAACCGAGTCTTGAATGTGCAAGCTGGTAAAAATTCAAGTGAACCTTCATTTTACAGTCCCTTGGGCCTTATTTTATTTAAAGTTGCCTGTTGAAGTTTCAAAGGTGTTGTTTATCATTCTTAAGGAAATTGTCCTCAAAAAGATGCATTTTGCACATTTAAGACTATATTAAATGTGTCAATTCAGAGGTCAGAAGTATGACCTATATGAGTAGAGTAGAGTATGTTTTGATAACAGTGGTGAATGTTTATCAGTGGGTTTGATGAGAAACAGAATGATACAAATCTCAGTGTAAATGTACTTACCATTCATTTATGTAAACATTCATGCATCCAGGTCTATAATTTTCTAAATATCAATATATATGACCCATGTCAAGGTTGTGAGAATAATCATTTGGAATTTGATTATCTAGGTGATCAAGTCTCAGCTGCGTTTGCTGTATGGGCTCCTGGAGGATCTGCAGACACTAGTGGAGGGCTTCCTGCGGCCTGCATTGGCCGAAAAAGAGCGGATCGATGCCCATCGCGCCCGCACCGAGGAGCGCATCCGCAACAAGATGTATGGTACCAATGAGGCAGAGGAAGCTGCCCTTGCCCTTGCTTGGCAAAAATTCCTGCCAATTGTTGAGGTAAGGCAAAGAAGCCATTCTATATTCTTTGGTTGCAGCTATAAATCCATAACCAACAGTGAAAATTATTGCTTGACTTGTTGATAGCAAATCAGAGAATGAATTACCCAAGATGTGAAAAGCCCGTTGATATGAAAATAGCAGCACAAAAAATTTAAACACTGAAACTTTTTCAGGAAACCCAGACAAAGGCACGGTGCCTGCTGACGACGTACGAGGAACAGATGTCGGCGTTCCTCCTCGACCTGTGCTCCATGGAGGACGTGCGGCTGCAGGACCTGTGCATCCGCCTCGACATCTCCGGATATTACGTCTCCCGCGACCAGAAGCTCCGCATGTCCCTCACGCTGGCGCACCGACTCAGTCGCGGGCAGCTTCGGCTTCGGGCCGACCACGCTTCCGTTCCCAGTCTTCGCTGAAAACTGCCAGAATTATATTCGATTTTCTTCCCCCATTGAAGTTGTCATGAGTTGTTCCTTACTTAAGGTCCCACTATGAATCTCCATGATGTTCTGTGTCAGTTTCTCTTGTATTTTCTTCCTACCCATGTTTGTAAAAATTTATATGCTTTTGTTGTCTGTGCCATTGCGGATGATTTTACCATTGTCGATCCGGTCAATGGATTTTTGATACCTCAGTCCTGCTTGTACCATAATGTTATTTTCTTCCTACCCATGTTTGTAAAAATTTATATGCTTTTGTTGTCTGTGCCATTGCGGATGATTTTACCATTGTCGATCCAGTCAATGGATTTTTGATACCTCAGTCCTGCTTGTACCATAATGGCAAGCATTGCAGTATGCGTGAGAGTAAAAACTTTTTCTATACAAGCATGACTCTTTTATTCTGATCACTGGTGCAAAACTTGAGTGGGGAATGGAGAAACATTTTTTTGGAGAAGCCTTGCTTAATATTTGATGTCAACATTTCACAATAGGGGATCTTGGAGATATCTTCAAAGACCACAGGGTGGATATGCAATGGCTTTACGTGCTGAATTCCACACGGTGATGGAAAATGCCTGTTCTGTAGCATTGCTTTCTATCTGCACTATCAAAGGTGGTGCTCTCAAAATCGCCGAGGGATAAAAAGAGAATGTGGGCTATATAGATTTGAAAAGAATGTCATGACAGGAGAGTATGCATGAAGGTGCAGTTGATGTGATGGAAGAGACAACCGTCCACTCCATGCTGACCTCTCAGTACTTCCAATTTTCGTTTTGGTTCTATCTTGTAATGACAGTTTGTTTCCATAATGAAATGGATGCCAAGTTTATGACATGAATTGAGTAAAGAAAGTCCGAGTTTGAAGCTGTAGAATTTCTACTAACGTTGACAGTTGCTTCTTGTGACATCTACACGAGTGCAATTGCTCAAGGTTGCCCATTCATTTTCCCAGAGAGAGGGTTCACGGAAAACCGAGGCCTTTTATCCAATGGCACTTGTGTTGTGCAGAGATTTGGCCATGGGGCCTAAGTGCCATTGCTAGACGGTTGGTTTTTAAAACATATTTTTCCGAACTTTGAAGGTCCAATCACCCTTTATGATCCTTGAGTATTGCTTGCTGACTTTTGGACCTTCGTTCGTTCGGACTGACTCAGAAATTTACAATCGAACAGTGCCTACTAAGTCTATTCAAAGATGTATGAGGTCAATCCTAGTTAACTGTTGAACTAAGCATCTCCTACTTTACTAGTGTCGGAGCTACTTGATCCGAGAGTGTGATATATTTATGTATCCGTTCAGCTTGCCATGCAAATGAGTTGTGGTCGTATTACGCCTACCGTTATGTCCTATTCAATGTTACCGGCAAGTCCTTGAACGGGTGGAATAGGCCTTAAACGGTGCAATATATGTAGAGAGTTGAAAGGGGTTGCATGATTTGCCGCGTGATTTCGCATTTCTGTTTTAAACTCTTTTCTAAAGTACTGGATTCACTTTTCAGCTAGTTAGTTATACATTTTTCACTTGATGTCCAAGGCATGTCGTACTTCTCCTATTCACCATCATTATGAAATAATCTCGTGGTTAAATGAAAATCTGTTGTGCTTGAATTGAAAGTTATGATCATCCCGTGCTTTGTTGCTCAGTGCAATTATTGGCCATGAAAATATGAGAATATTGATGGATCTTAGTTAGTACATGGCTATAGTCACAAGGCGAAGACTGGGCTTAAAGGATGGGTGTACACAGGGTGTACATGGTGTTCACAAGACGTACTATAGCCGCCTTTAGTCCTTGCCTTTGAATGTGACTAGGGTTTCTTGAAGTTCGAAGGTCAAATATAAAAAGTCGCACTTTTGATCTTGAATTCCTGAAAAAGCTTAATTTTCATTTTTTCAAAATTGACATCCTCAATTCTTTCTCAATTTCAC